CCTTCCACAGGGTCAGGACATCTGGGTTTTTGTTTGTTTGTTTGTTTGTTTTTAATAACTTTCTAGTTTACCCTTCTACGTGCCAAAGTTCGATAATCACACTTCTACCCCAACTGCCTTATGGTCCTATAGAAAAGGTTCTCACTGAAGTAATAAAAACTTCTAGGTTAATCCTTTCTAGCTTATGAGAGTTACTAGGGAATGAGAAAACCTTAACATTTTGTAAGTTTTCATGAATCTTTATATTGGATAGGATAGTTTCTGCCTTAATTTACTTGCCCTGACTTGATATATAATGGTTCTCAACTTAGATTATGCATCTATCTTGCTAATTCCTTGCAGAATCTGTTCATTTGCTTTCACTCGGTACTCCCTAATTTCTCCGACAAATGTTACAGGTTCTGTTCTGCTGTAGGACACCTGGTACTCCACAGAGATCGCCCTTTAGCTTAAGAGAACTTACCTTCTGTTTCCCAATTAAAAATATGAGGCAAACTTTGATGGGCTACTGGAACTAGAGAATGTAGTTATATTTAAAGAGAGGAACTCAATATATTAAAGATCAAAGACTCTCAAGATTATTAAATATACAATGACTTTGGAGCACCTGGGTGGCTCAGTCTGTTAAGTGTCTGCCTTTGGCTCAGGTCATGAACCCCGGGTCCTGGGTTTGCTCTCTCTCCCAAGTAAATTAAAACAAAACAAAACAACGACTTTCACTGGTCTGTCTGTGGGGGCCGAACCCTCTGTGGGTATCTCCAAAGTGAGGTCATGTGGGTGGATCGGTCTGCTAAGTGTCTGCCTTCAGCTCAGGTCATGACCCCAGGGTCCTGTGCCAAGCTCCCTGCTTGGCAGAGTCAGTTTCTCCCTCTCTCTCTGCCCCTCGCCCTGCTCATGCTCACGTGGGCATGCTCTCTCTCTCAAATAAATAAGAACAAAATCTTTAAAAAAAAAAAAAAAAAGGTCATGTGGATAACAAGTTAATTGTAGAAATCCAAGTTCAGGACCTCTACGTTGTTTCAAAAGCATAATATAAATGTCACACCCCCAAACCCTTGCCCAATTCCTGCTTCTAATAAAACTGCAATCATAGTGTCTGGCTACAAAAGTCATACCCAAGGAGTGTATTGAATCCAGAAAATTTCTCTTCCTGGTCTTCTTTCTGCTGAATTTTCTCACTTAGGATATGTAAAGTTTCTCTCCTGTGTCTGGGCTATCAGTAACTATTACCATATATGGAGTGATCTCTTGTGTTTAAAACAAATTACGAGAGAGAAATCCTTGCTGTGTAATGTCAAATCAATAGACCAGTCCTAGGCTTCGCAAGAGAAATGTATAGTTTTGTTACCAGTTTGAAATATTTTTTTTAATTTATTTACTTACTTGAGAGAGACAGAGAAAGTGAGGAGGAGGAGGGGCATAGGGAGAGGGAGAGAGAGAATCTTAAACAGGGCTCAAGGGCTCAATCTCACCACCCTAACATCATGACCTGAGCTGAAATCAAGAGTCAGGCACTTAACTGACTGAGCCACCCAAGGCACCCCAAGTTTGAAATGTTTAGAGAGCCTCTTAGCTGTGATCTTTCAGTGACCACAGATAAGCATCCTGCCTCTGTCAAGAACAGGGTTTCAGGAAATGGGAACACAGCAGTTCCTCCTTGGGTCTTAGTCGATGGCAGTAGCTACTGTACTCTTGACCTTCTCAGTCTGATGCCGTTACATAAAGACTATATGAAAAGGAATATGATGAACTCTTAGAATCTAAAATAACTATATCAAGTTCTTTATTGGTAGACCTTCAATGACATTTTTGAAATTATATATTTTTTCTTCACTCATGTCTGTTCCATCTGTTTTCTTCTTACCCTTAATGAATGTCTCACATCAGCAAAGGGACTTTTCTGAGAGCCGGTGTCCACGGAGGACTCATTTGCAGCATTTCTTCTGTCCTTTGGTTGTGTCATTATTACAAAAGCAAAGGTTCTGCTCTGAGCCTTTTCGGCTTCCATTTGCAATCATGCAGAGACCCAAGGGGAAACTTTGTTTCTTCTACCTGTGGTAGTTATCCGCTGTCTTTTATCCCACCAACACAAAAGAGCCAGGAAACAATTTCAGGAATCAAGCTCCCACTCCTGGTTCTATCACTGTTCTTACAGTAATTAATTTCAGTATAACAAGCAACATTTGAGTCTTTTCAATGAACTGGGTGCTGTCCAGCATAAAATGGTAAACAAGAACCAAGGAGTTTACCAACCAGAGGGGGACATTTAAGCCCTGACTTTAAAAATGAACATTAATTTTCCAAATTAATGTTTCACCAAGTTTTTTGAAATTATATTTCTTTCACCAAGTATGGTACCCAGGCTGACAGACCTATCTGTTGAGTTGGTTAAGACGTACAAGTGCCGGAGTTACTTGCCAAACCTACTGAGTCAAGGTCGCGGAATGTAGAGTAAGGAAGTCATTTTTAATTGGTTCCTAAATCTTTCTTATGCCTACACAGTTTGAAAACCACTGATGTCCTGTAAAGAGAAATGAGCCAAACACTATAATTAATCCATGTTAACACTCCAGCTGGAGAAGTTCTTATCTTCGGACCAGTTAAAAACCACCAGGGAACCTGATGTGAAAGCAAACTCCTGGGTGTTCCCCAGTCATTTCTTCTTTAGTGGGTGGGGCCAGGGGCTGGAAATACACACTTTTAATGTGCATCTTAGTGATTCCCATCCAATTCACTTGGTGGGTAACACTTTGAAAAGCACTGACCTATTGGATGATGGTTGGCTGTAATCTCAGTGGTCTATTTAGGATGTGGCAACATTTAAGAGGTATTATTTTGTTAGAGGCTGGAGCAAAATGGTGAGATGCCAGATGAGGCAAGTCATATTAGTGGGCATAGATAGCATAGTAAAATGTGACCCTCACTTAGCCCTGTGGTTTGAATTGCTACAGCCAATTCTCCGATTTATTTCAGTTGACCATAATAAATCCCATCTGGATTAGAAAACTTAAACTTTAAAAAGAATTATACCATGTGCACTCAGCTATGCCCTGTCATTGGAAAATATAATCAATAAATAGAATATAGCTCAGAACACTATTTCCTGAATTGGTAATTATCTCCATTGATCACATTTGCATAGGTGCGCTGGAAGTATAATATGGTGTAATGGGATTCTCTGCCCTTTAAAGTTGTAAAAACCAAAGGCAAAAGAAAATCTGTACAGTAGCTTACATCATGTGGGAGGAACTCCATTGCTGGAAGGATGGACACTGAAGTCATTTTCCACTTACTACTCTAATGTAGCCAGAAATCATCACAGGTCAAAGTCAAAGACTCCACAGAACCCAAAATAAATTTCTTGTGAATAAAATCTGTCATGCAGATTCAAAACAGAACCTTCTACAAATCAAATTATTAAAAACGGGGGAAATTGTGCAAATTTTAGATAAATTTATCCAAAAAGATCCAATTTGTCACATGACTAACATAGACTATGAGAAGGAAAAGCTTTGATGGTGAAAACCAGTATTTAGGTTGCTCATGATTCATCCAGATTACAAAAGCTGCTAAATATCTTTCTGGAAGAGCCAGAATGACCTTTGTTGAGAATGTCCCTCAGACACTGGATCCACCGCATCAGTCCCAAATGTCACAAAACCTTTGAGGGTTGACCTAACCTCCAAACACTTTTCAGAACTCTAGTCCCACGCTACTGCAAGGCTGCTCCTGCAGAGAAAAAAAAATGGTAGCTCAAAGGCAGAAGTGTAGTAGATCATCAGGTCAATATGTGGACTTGACCTCCTTCTCTGATCATCTTCACTGGATTCCCACAAGGGCCTCTGAACATGGTCTTGCCTGATTCAGATGAGACATGATTTCTCTTACTACCTTAGATCGATTTCTCATCAGCCAATAAAAGAGCCTAGGGTAGATCTCCAGTGGAGGGAAGAAGCCTGCTATTCAGGATAAAGGAAGACATGCAAACTGTCTTCGGGGGCAGAAGGGGTGAAGGGACTAGGCTCGGCTACTCTACTATGATTAAAACCACAGACTAATTTTCTCCACTCCTAGCCTTCCTAAACATTTAGCCTTATTTTTCCTCACTGCTATTAGCCCATGCCAATACTACAGTAGAATTTCCTTTTGTCAAAACAGGTTGAAACCAAGAACATTTTTTTTTTAAATTACATTCTTTGAGAAAATGGAAAATACCAGTTGAAACTACTTTCCCCTCCACACTTGTGTGTGAAGGGGAAAGTAGAGACTGTTCCATCTGAACAAGGATAATAAAAGCTAAAACTGCCAGGGCTCTTTCCTTTTCCTTTATAAAGAAATTAGAATATTAAGAAATCAATTAATATCCCATAAAACACACATGAGCTCATGTAATTCTCTTACTAGACAATAACTGCCATCGATATTGGAATGAGATTATATAAAAGTTGTATTTGTTTTACCCATTACAGATTCACTGAATTTGTTATTTTCTAATTATGTTTGTGCTGCTAAGACCTACTACTATTCCTCTGGGCCAGTTAACTAAGTTGTTTCAAACTTGTATCCATGAGACCTCCCTTGTAAAGGCTGGTGATTTTGCTGATAATTTGCAAAGGCTGGTAATTTTGCACTGAAAGCCATGTTTCCCAGCCCAAAATGGAAACAATCTCCATGTATAAACTGGGGAAAAGAGGAGGGGCAGGATATGGACGACTCACTGTCATTCTTTCAACCCTGCAGGAAAGGCTCAAAATACACTCCTTCCTGGTTATTAGAACTGACTTTTTTGAATGTGTATCAAATTAAGAGGAGTGGAAATTATACCAAGCTGACCAAATTGCAAGAGGTTAAACAAATGGCTCTTGAGTAAATACCTTCTCTGAGTGGTATTACAGATAAAACCAGTTTTTGAGAATTGCGATGTGACACGTCAACAAAAACAAGAGCAATGTGATGGTGATGACGCTGTCTGCATATTGATTTCTATTTATGTTTTTTAGCTCTTTCAAAAAGTCAAAGAAGTTTGTCCAAACGTGCATGAGAAGATCAGAGCTATCTATGCGGACCTCAATCAGAATGACTTTGCTATCAGCAAGGAGGACATGCAAGAGCTTCTCTCCTGTACAAACATTATCTTCCACTGTGCGGCCACCGTGCGCTTCGATGATCATCTGAGGTACATGCCCACTTCCTGCTCATGGCACACACAGGTGCACGTGTGTGCATGTACACATGCATGTCAGTTTCCTTGCAGTTTCTGTTAGAAAAAAGATGTACGCAAGCGATGAATCACTAAATTCTACCCCTGAAACTAATAAGATGCTCCATGTTAACTAAATTGAATTTAAATTAAAAAAATTTTTTAAAGGTATATTCTCCATGAAAAAAAAATTAAAAGGAGTCAAACTCCAAAAATCTCGCCACCCGGAGACTACCACTTAATATCATAGAGAGCTTCCATTCCAGCTTTTCTTTACACATCCATAATAAAATAGACTTATGTTCAACTTCACCAAAAGATGGCATCATACTGATAATTTTTTAGCGACTTGCTCGGTTATATCTTTGGATATCTTTCATTGTGAATAGATATTCTTTATAATTTCAAATGACTGTATGACATTCCACTTTATGTATCTATAGTATACTCCACCAATTCTATATTGGTGGATATTTTTGGATTGTTCGAATTTTTCAGTATTATAAACAATGCTTCAGTGAACATCTCTGTGCTTGCAATTTTTTTTTTATACCATTGTGTGCTTTACTTTGGGTAAATGTCCAGAAGTAAAATTATTAGAGATGTACCGGATGTGCCCAGGTTAGAAATGGTTTACATTTTGACATATAATACTACGTTGCTTTCCACATGGGCAGTATTGATTTCCGCTGTCCCAGTGCACATGAATGCTCATTTCTGACACCCACAGGCATACTGTGTTATCGTTCTTTACTTTTAATGTTGGCAATATAATGGAAATGCCAATCCGTATTTTGACTTTGGTTTTGTTGACAATGAGAAAAGTTGAGGGCGTGGAAATGCTGATTGGCATCTTATTCTTTTTTTTTTTTTTTAAATAAACATATAATGTATTTATATGTATACCTGTATACCCAGGGGTACAGGTCTGTGAATCGCCAGGTTTACACACTTCACAGCACTCACCATAGCACACATCCTGCCCAATGTCCATATCCCCACCACCCTCTCCCGACCCCTCTCCCCCAGCAACCCTCAGTTTGTTTTGTGAGATTAAGAGTCTCTTATGGTTTGTCTCCCTCCCCATCCCATCTTCTTTCATTTATTCTTTTCCTACCCCCCAAACCCCCCACGTTGCCTCTCAACTTCCTCATATCAGGGAGATCATATGATAGTTGTCTTTCTCCGATTGACTTATTTCGCTAAGCATGATACCCTCTAGTTCCATCCACGTCGTCGCAAATGGCAAGATTTCATTTCTTTTGATGGCTGCATAGTATTGGCATCTTATTCTTTTTTGAAATGCCTATTCGTGTTCTTTGCCTATTTTTCTACTGAAACATTTTTTTCTTGTCAATTTTAAGACTTGTTGGAATAGTTAACATATTGATTTTTGGTCTTTTACAAAGCTCAAAATACTTTATCATTTGTCCTCAACTATTTTTATTATTTATGCATTATTCATAATTTCTTCTACAATTTTTATTGCTTAATTTTCTCCTTTACATCTCTGACCCATTTAGAGTTTTTTGGGCCTATAAAGAGAAATAGGAAAATTCTATAAAAAGGAAAGTGATGTGGGTGTAAATATAGAGTAGCTTTTGAAAAATTTCTAACAGATTGCTACTTCTTAAGAAACATTTATTAAATGATTTGTTTTTACTCTTTATTTAATGAAGCTCTTATAATATACTGAATTTCCAATGTTGGACTCTTTATTTTTGTTCCATTACTTAGGCTTTCTCTCCCAACACCACAGTATTTTATTACAGTAATTTTTTACTTTATTAGGCAAGTTACACACATCATTCTCTTTTTATAGAATTTTCCTGACTATTCTCATCTGCTTAAGATAATTTTTCCAGCTTCTTAAAAAGTTGGGAATTTGATTAGGATTACTGAATATGAACATGTCAACTACTTTAGAAAAACCACTATTTAAAACATTGGCTCTTCCTATCTAAGAACAATATATTGTTTATTCAATTTTTCTATAACCCTTAATGAAGTTTTATTTTTGTATATAGTCTGTTCCTTTTTTCTTAACTGGATATATTTTTTAAATGTTCAGTTTTGAATATGTGCCTTTCTTCCACCGTATTCTCCAGTTTTTTCCTTTAACATAACTTTTATAAATGGACACTTTACTGAATGAATCATTGCATGTCCCAGGGTAGGTTTTTTCGTTTTGGTTTTTTGTTTTTAGCTCTTTTGTTTGTTTCCCAGATACACAATTATGTAATCTGATAGGGATTTTTGTGACTGCCTTTACAACTGTTACATCTGCTAATTCCTTATGTTTTCCTCTCTAATTACCAGGTGGAAGTTCAGAGCAATATTAAGTAGTAGTAGTAATTGCAGCCATTCTTCTTGGCCCTGACTTTTTTTTTAAGATTTTATTTATTTATTTGACAGAGAGAAAGAGAGAGAATGCACAAGTAGGCAGATCAGCAGGCAGAGGGAGAGGGAGAAGCAGGCTCTCTGCCTAGCAGGGAGACCAACACAGGGCTTGATCCCAGGACCTCGAGATCATGACTTGAGTTGAAGGCAGATGCTTAATCAGCTGAGCCACCCAGGAACCCCTTGGCCCTGACTTTAAAAGCAGTGCTCCTAACTTTTCACCATTAAACATGATACAGGCTAGCAAAGGAAAAGGGATGTATTTTAATCATTTATTCTTCTTTTAATGATTTTTTAAAAATTAAATTGGAAATGGATACTGAACATCATTTTAAAATTTTCAAAATACATATAGAGGATCATTTAGTTTTTCTCTTTTTTATTATCTTTTTTAGTTAGATTAATAGGGTTCCTGATATTGTATAAACCTTGTGTTTCTAGCATGAACCATTTCATTGTCATTTCGTATTATACTTACATAACTTGGTATTCTATTAGCAAAAATTTGGGATTTTGACATTGATTTTTAGGTCTGACCTGGACCTTTGCAATAGAAATTTCTTTCTTTTTTATTGTTTTTTAAGATTTTTAAAATTTATTTATTTGACAGACAGGAATCACAAGTAGGCAGCAGAGTTGGGGGAGGGGGTGGGAAGCAGGCTCCCTGCTGAGCAGAGAGCCTGGTGTGGGGCTTGATCCCAGGACCCTGAGATCACGACCTGCGCCGAAGGCAGAGGCTTAATCCACTGATCCACCCAGGTGCCCCTGCAATAGAAATTTCTATTTCTCATTCTCTATTCGCTGCTACTCTCCTACAATTCATTTGAATTTTTACAGCTTCTTGAGTTATATGCTCAATTTATGTGTCTTTATATTTCTAGTGGCTGCTTAAGAAACCCCTTTATACATCCAGAAGATTGTGATTTTTTTTTTTCCTTCCAGTTGATTTAGAACCAAGCTATCTCTAAATGCAATACGAACAATGCTTCAGTGACTAGGATTTATGTGCACAGAACACGGCATCAACTATAACACATTCCAGGCATCACACAACTGTGTAGCTATGGTCTGTGCTCTTTTTCCTGGGCCACAGGAAGAAGTGCAGCCACAGAAATGAGACATATGTGCCTGTTATTGGAGGAGGTGACGTTCTAGCAAAGCAGGACACCGAGTTGCCTCATGGTACTTCTTCTGCTTTACCTCCTGCAGACACGCCGTGCAACTTAACGTCACTGCCACCCAGCAGCTCTTGCTCATGGCCAGTCAGATGCCAAAGCTTGAAGCCTTCATACATATCTCCACTGCCTTTTCAAATTGTAACCTGAAGCACATCGATGAGGTCATCTACCCGTGCCCTGTGGAGCCAAAAAAAATCATCGACTCCATGGAGTAAGTTGGGTCACATCAGGGGGTCAGGAGGTGGGCAGACCGTGGTTCTCTTTGATTCTTTGTAGTCATCCATTAATGAGGTAACAAAGCGAGACTCTCGTGAAGCAACGTGCTCTGCAAAGGTGCTAGCTTTCGCTGTCTGATCCCTGCTGTTCCCTTCATCCCAGCGTGGGGAGTACAGTGCTTGGTGATGGGGAAGGACGGCCATGGATAAATGCCACAGGGCAGTGGGTATCAAGGAGGGCACGAGTGGTGATGAGCACTGGGTGAACGTGACGTCAGAAACTGATGGTGTACTATATGGTGGCTAACTGAACATAACAACAAAAAAAATGCCACAGAAGAGTTTTGTGAAATAGTTTAGGATTGTAATGGGCACAAGGGAATGCTTCTGTCACTCCGTACTGAACTCAGCGTGGTTCACTGAAGGAAGTAGAGTGTACAGTGTAAAAGCGAAGAAACAAGCCTTCAGTGTCAGTCCGACCTGGCTTCTGCAGCTTCCTGTCTGTGTGACCTTGAGTGAGTTCCTTGGCCTCTCTGTGCCTCAGTTCCTTCATTTGTGAAATGGGGTGATAACAGTGCTCATCTTGTAGTGATGATGAGTGATAGAAAGCAGTTGTTGTGCTTGGGAGTGTTTAATGGCAGCTGATCCAAAGGTTAATAAAGAAGAACTCAGATGTGGGACGTCTGGGTGGCTCAGTCGGTTGAGCGTCTGCCTTCGGCTCAGGTCATGATCCCCGGGGTCCTGGGATGGAGCCCCGGTCGGGCTCCCTGCTTGGCAGAGAGCCTGCTTCTCCCTCTCCCTCTGCCTGCCACTCTGCCTACTTGAGTTCTCCTATCTCTCTGTCAAATAAATGAATAAAATCTTTAAAAAATTAATAATAAGAAGAAGAAGAACTCCTAGGTAAGCGGAAATCCTCCCAGGTCTGGCAGAAAGTGCAAGTCTCTTGGTCTAGGAGGCTGAGATATGCTTTCCTTATTGTCTTGTTGTGGAGAAAAAATAACTGTAGCATCTTTCTCTTCCCTCCTACTAACAGGAACCACTTTGTTCTTAGGACAGGCCCTGGTCTCAGAACAAGTGTTTTCATTTTCTGGGTCTTCATTCTTCTGTTCAATTTAACAAGTTTATCTTGTTTAGAAAAAAACAAAACAAAACAAAAACAAAAACAACTGCAAAAAGGTATTCCGGCTGAGAAAATAGACAACTTCACCATGAAATTTGTCAGATTTTAATTTCATGTAATACTGTATCTCTATTTAAGATAGACTCTTTAAAATGAAGCTTAGCTAAATCAAGAGTTCACTCCCTTCAGGGCAAACATTTTTATCTCCTACAGTCCTGAGAATAGATATTTTTACCTGTCATTTAAAAATATCCGGGACAAAGAAGAATGAAAGTCATCCAAAGGACCTGGAGGTTACCTCACGTTGCTCATAAGTGGTGACTTGCTTAAGTCGTGCAAAGGGACCTTCCAAGCGCAGAGCTTGTCAGGAGAGTTGGAGAAAAGAGGCTCTGATGCCCCAAGTCGGTACAGGAGAGTGGATGTGGAAGGCCTCAGAGTGTTTTTGGGTGGAATCGATTTGTTTTCGGTGAGCTGCCCTCTCACAGTGCTCTCTCTTGGTCCATGTGGTGTGTACATATTTGCTGTGCCCAGGAAAGGGGCAGAGCTGTTTGAGTGCAGACTCTGCTGAGATCCCAGAGCCTTCCTCCACTGTTGACCTGTCTCGCAGCTGGTACATGACAGCACGATGTGAGGCAGGACAGAGTCTCTTGCAGAGACTGCCAAAGAAAGGAGACAGGAGTTGACGCTTCAGTTCAGCTCCAGCGAGGGGCTTCTCCCAGTCCTCCGCAGCACTTCCTCTTCCCAGACTGTGTCCCCTCAGTATCCCCAGGTCTCCAAGAAGAATAAACTCACCTCCCAGAAGAGGAGTCGGTTTCTCTTCAGGTGCCCAGCGCTTGCCGTCCTCGCCCACTCCATGTCCCCTGGTGAAAGCCAGGGATAGCTACATGATTGATGATCAAACCGAATTGACATTTGTACAAAACTCACGTCTCTCATTTACTGCTCCCCAAGGAATATAATTATTCTGAAAAATATACAGCCAAACAGAAGTAAAAATGAAATAAATTTTGTCTCAATAGAACACATTTTGCATATAATTAAGAAACCAAGGTTTTCTTCTTTTTTTAAAACAAGGAAAAGTCATAACCACAATTTATTAATTCAGAATTTTATATTCAGGACCACGTGTCCAGCCTCATCTCTGCCAACCCTCCCCTTACGTTTGTGCTATGGTCACACTGAAGTCATTACTCCTCTCCCTCATGCCGCTCTGCCTTGGCTTATGACAGTTCTGTTTCTAGAAACTACCTCCACCTCTGCTTCCCTGGTTAATTCCTACTCTGACATCAGAGCTCTCCTCTGGAAGCCTTTGAACTGAGGCCAGACCCAATTAGGAGTTAATGCTTCTTATTGGTATGACAATTGTGGCCATGAATCAGCATTAAAAAAACAGACCTCTCCAGCTCTCACACCTGCACATGTCCGCTGCCCTCGTCCCAATTATCGCAGGCATTTTATCATGGAATTATGTCACCATTCTTCCCCATCTCCCTGTCTTCTTATTTCTGGCTTCTGCAGTTGGGGGGGTTTTACCTTTAGGAGCTCCTATGCATAAATGGATGAGGGACTACCAATGAAATTCCAGTTTTCCGGAATACTGGCTCAAGTAGAATGTTTATTTTTTAAAGTGCACATAACCGACCGGGAAAGATTGCTGTTTTCCCTCTTTTTCAGGCCAAGTTAACTCCTCTTAGGAGAGACAGAAGGAAAAGATTTTTGTTACCTATATAAAAACTGGAAATAACTATAGCCCGAAACTAGAAAAATGGATCCATAAATATTTACTGCTTTAGTTAGCATCCTTAAATCAATCTAGTAAGTACACATTAAGAAGGGAAGGGCAGCTCTGATTCATCACTGAGCAATTATTGTGAGTAAAGACACTTCCGCAGACACCGGTTCCTTACCGTAATATCGTCGGGCTGGTGGTATGTGTTGCTGCTACTGGGCTAATAAAGGAACAGAAGCTCCAAAAGACTGAGGAAGCCTTCGGAATTCTCCCACCTAGTAAGTTACAGGGACACCATTTTTCTCCGTGGCCCCATGATTCGATCACGCAGCCCTTTTCAGTACTCCCACACACTTGACTGTATGAGAGATTAAAAGGTGCTTTCTTAAAATAGAGACTGTGTTCTCAAGGAGCTCCCAGTAAAACACAAAACAGGGCAAGGTAGCATTATACATGGAGCATGGTAGCAGAATTTAGATGGAGTTGGTGGTGGCAGTGGAAAGGCCCTGTGGAGACAGGCACAGCACACGGACTTGGGAGAGGAGGCACGGTGTGGCAGGGTGAGGTGGGGGTGCAGACTAGGCACAGCCAGGGGAGCAGGAAGGCTGGAGGCATGCTGGGGGTATGGCCATCCATCTACCGGGGCAGCACAGTTGTTATTTGTAGGGAAGTGGGGCTGGGGCTGTCCTGAGAGTTTTGAATGCCCTGGGGAGGACTGTATTTAATTCTAGAGGCAATAGGGATCCACGGCAGGAGGGTCATGCATGTGTGTGTAGGGGGGGTGGTTTTGATTGGTTGGTGCTTCCATTTTGTTTTCATCAAAAAAATACTTGGATGAAAGCAGGCTTTAGGAACGTTAGTACGGTCACGAGGGAAGGGGGTAGATCTGCCTGGGCAGTCATCAGAGGCAGGGGCAGCTGTGACCTGCCATGTTGTGGGGTGAGCCTGAGAACTGGGGAGTGACAACAGATACCAAAAAACACCTCTGTGTTCGGGGACAGGAGACTGAATGGGACGTGGCCACTGCTTTGCATGTGGGCTTGCACATACCTTCTAATCAACCCTCAGATTCCATCTCTAGTGTCCAGGATTGAAATCCTTTAAAGTTCAAGTCTACTGAAAGGTTTACTCCAAGAAGTGATGCCTCTCTCAGAGCTAATCCCAATTTGTTCAAGGCTAACATTTGTGGGGTGGCGTCCTTTGAAACTGGTGATTCCTCAGTTTGCCTGACCATAACAAGCACCACTCCACTGGATAACAAATCAAGGTTATCAAGCTCTCCCCTGAAGACTGGTTTGGAGGTTCTAAGATGATACCCAGGGAGCTGAACTTTTGTCATAGGCCCCACATAAGTCTTACTGATGAGCAGGCAAGTTTGGGGAAAACTGCCTCAAAGTGCTTTTTCATGTAATGTCTCTCATTTGACCCGAGGTTCATTCATATTCCAGTCACCCACTCACCCCAGCCTTCCCACTCTCCTTGCTTGCCACCCCCGCCCCATTCCTAGAGGCTTTCCTCGATGAAAATTCCCTGAAAGATTTGTACCTACTAAAAATCATGCTCTTGAAGCTACCCAGCCTCCAGAAGCACAGTCAATCTGCCATGTGAAAAAAGGTGTTTTTGATCAAACGTGGGCAGCAGTCAGCTATGGCAGAAATATGAAAGGAAGTCAGATGTTGGAAAGTAGTCTTGTCTGGGTGCTGAAGAACACGTTGTTAACACTAAGTGTATCTACTCCAGGGGAAAGGAAAACACTCATTTTGATTTTGTCCATTTACTGTCAGAATTGTATAGGCTTAAGATGGCATCTAAGCAGCAGACAAAAAAAAAAAAAAAAAAAAAAAAAAAACCAGAAAACTCTGTGTACTTTTAGTGTTATCTGGCTTTAAATACAAATCAGAGCTGGGTTAGACTGCTTCCTAGAGAGATTGAATAATTTTCATATTATCAGGCCACTGGAGGCCAGAATAGGTGTTCAGTAGTAGTTAAGGGGGAAATGCAGAGGCCAGCTCACCGCCAGCACTAGGCACAGGAATACCCTTGACCCCAGTAAAAAGTGTAAATTTGCTCTGAAGCCAACTCTGCCATGTTGAAATTAGTCAACATGTAATCTTTCAGCTTCTCAACACTTGACATCACTACCAGCTTGATATTTTAACTTCCAGTTTTGCTTCATTCTCCAAAAACACATCCCCTCCCTTCCTTCCTCCTCCCTTCCTCCTTCCTTCTTCCCTTCCTCCTTCCTTCTTTCCTTCCTCCTTCCTCCCTTCCTCCTTCTTTCCTTCTTTCTTCCTTCCTCCTTCTTCCTCCTTCCTCCCTTCCTCCTTCTTTCCTCCTTCCTTCCTTCCTTCCTTCCTTCCTTCCTTCCTTCCTTCCTTCCCCACAGATTCCTTCCAGCCCCGCCCGCTCCTCAGTTCCTCCGGGCTCTCCTGTCAATGTCCATCTCAGCTTCCCAAAGTGTTATTCAGAACACAAACCAGCCAGTCAAGACTGTGGTGTGGGAGAGCCCTTCAGGACTGAATCAGGGAGTAGGTGCCTGGGCGGGTAAAGTGATCAGACACAGAGAGAAGAAACCTAATCCCTGCTCTCTGGGACTCACCATAAAATGGGGAAACTGACACATGAACCTACGGCAGAATCCCTGCAAGAATCAAGGGAAGAACCTAATTCAGACAAGAGACGGAGAGCGCAAACATGACCATGACCGTGTTTCTGCTCCGCAGAAAACTTCACCCGAAATATCACTGGTCTTGCCCTCCCTGTTGCCTAAGGAAACTAGGAAGAAACATTGATATTCCTCCAACTATTTCATTTAGGAAGTACCTAAATTATGAAATCATTAATGATACTAGGTTGATGCAGTAAGTTTCAAGCCCCGCCCCCCCTCAAAAAGATAGTAATATTTACAGGAAATGGTATGTACATTGCTTTCTGAAATCTTCACTAACTTTTTGCTTCTTTTGAAGCAATGTAAGTAGAAGTTTAGAATCTGGGACCTATGGGTTCAAAACATCTCAGGTACCCTGAAGAGCATTTGGTTAATTTTAGAAATGTACTTTTATTTATAGAATGTCTTTTTCCATGCCAACTTCACTGTTTTAAAAACAAGCTGAGAAGGGGCACCTGGGTGGCTCAGTCAGGTAAGTGTCAGCCTTCAGTTCAGGGCATGATCCCAGGGTCCTGGGATTGAACCCGGCATTGGGCTCCCTGCTCAGCAGAGAGCCTGCTTCTCTCCCTCTGCCTCTCCCCCTGCTCGTATACTCTCTCTCTCTCTTCCTCGAATAAATACATTTTTTAAAAATGTTCATCAAAAAAAATGAGAACAAATAGCCAAACAGACTTTTGTAAAGAAGAGCATGAACTGAATATAGGTCTCGTAAAGGGTATCACCACTTAACCAGCGGGTGCATGTGCTTCTTATACCAACGTCCTCTTTGAACCCAGGAAGTGGCTGGATGAGATGGGTCAATGGCTGTTTGCCTGCATCAGAAAAGATAATTTAAAACTAACTGTTATATTTGTAGATACATGCCCCTTGGTTCTTTTACCAAACATCAAAAATTCCTTCGGTTTTTGGCTCATTTGGCTTTATCAAAGAGCTTTAAGTGCAGTTGTGAAAATCCCTGTTTGTTCTCATGATAACTTGAAAATTAGAACAGCTATAATGATTGCCACTTTTCACCAGTAAAAACTGAGGAATCAAGAAGCTAATTCAGTGGGATACAGACAGAGCCACAAATATAAGAGGCAAACCATTCACAGAGCACAACTTCTTTTACAGCTGTGTTCTTAGTAATCTATGAAACCAGGATTTTCTTAAAAAAAAAAAAAAAAAAGATTTATTTATTTATTTTAGAAAGAGAGTGTGAGCATAAGCTGGGGGGAGAGAGAGCCTTAAGCAAACTCTTTGCTGACTGTGGATCCCAACCTGGGGCTCATCTTCTGACCCTGAGATCATGACCTGAGCTGACACCAAAAGTCAGATGCTCAAACAACTGAGCCACCCAGGTGCCCTGAAACCAACATTTTCTAAGATAGGCAAACTCCCTTTCCATGCACACCAACATCAATGACCACAGCTGGTCCCAGCCCTGTGACGTATCAGCTTAGTGCCTGGTTATTTATGTTCTCATGTATTCTTAGAATTTGTTTCTTCACAGCCCGATCAGGCTGTATTTCTCCTGACCTGGTTTTTGCAATCTGTGTGTGTTTGCTCGTGAAAGAAAAATGGTCTTAGGTCAGTTAATCCACTGTGGACCATCAGATAAAATGAGGCAACGGTGACATCATCATGAAATGGAGAAGTGCCTACATTATCCCACATGCTTTATCCCTAACCTCAGGGGGCCATATAATTAGAAAATCTTCCATTTTTCTAACTATGTGGAGTTACTTTTGTTCTAGGAACTTCTTGACCTTTTTTCCCTATTCAATTTAAATCAAACGGTATTTGAGTATCTAGAAAACACTCAGCACTAATAGCAGCAAAGCAAGGAAAACCGAAACATTATAGACAGTGCTCATGTCCCACTCCAACATCAAATGAGTGTTCTCAAAACTGAGGGTTGTGTCTCTGAATAAGTATTGGCATAAGCACATTGTAAATGTCCAATAATTTGTCATGGGAGCAAAGCAATAACAGCTAAGATTTTTCTATAATCAAAATAGTATGACTGAGCTCAGCCCTCTAAGGTAGGAATAAATGTACCAAGCCCATCAATTATAAAAATCACACTAACATATTTAGTGAGGCCTGGTTTTTGAAAAATTATATTGTAACAAATGGTTAACCAAATAGGTCTGTCAACTAAGAGAAACATTAAATATTTAATCGACGATTTTATTGCTTTCTTTGAGAAGGGCAGATAGACTTTGGGATTATCAAAAGGGTGCTGACATCTTTAAAAAAGAGATTAGGCGGCTGTCATGGTAACTCAGTTTCTCATGATACATGTCCTTTTGTAAGGAGAGGTGTTCACCAGTCACTATTAGAGCTGCTTCAGAGTAGTATAATCATGCCTCCTGACAGACTATTAATAGCTACTAGAGAATCTCAGAATTCAAGGGAAATCTGGAAAAAATTACCGAGCTATTACTATGACTGTAAATATAACTTCAAAATGTATTCCATAGATTTGCTAAAACAGATAGTAGCTCTGCCAAATGTCGTTGCTTTTATTTGTTGAGGCACTGAATGGAATTTTAAAAGTAAAAAGCGAAAGGTTGCAAGATTGGTGCACTAGGTGTGAACAGGACAACCCCGGATGAACAGGGGTTCATCCCAGAACCCTGGGAAGCCTGGGGTGGGAGCCTCTAAGCTCCACGAACACAGCACATGGCATGCTACGGGCACGGCTGGCACCCACAGTTGTCCTCATGGGTGTACTCCTGAGCCAGTTGAAGAGGAAATAATTGAGGATAATTAGAGATCGTGCATAATAAAGTAGTAGATTGCATGGCTGTTGAATTTATCAGTCTAGGTGGGAGGAAGCTGGACTCAACTGGTGAGAGCGGGCCTCATGGTGCAGAGCCAAGAGCTCATTCAGCACTCGGGGTTTGGACGGGTGCCCACTCAGCCTTGGTATCCTATGACTGTTCTGAATTCCAGAACTCAAGAAAGGGGAAGTCCTGTTTGTGTTTTGTTTGGGGGTTCCTTCCTCCCTCCTTCTTACTTTCCTTCCTCCCTCCCTCCCTCCCTATCTTTCTTCCTGTCTATTGTCTAACATATGTTACTAGAATTCTTTTTGACTCTGACTACCCACAGGTGGTTAGATGATGCTATTATTGATGAGATCACCCCCAAGCTGATCGGTGATCGGCCCAATACTTACACGTATACCAAGGCCTTGGGTGAGATGGTGGTGCAGCAGGAGAGCGGGAACCTAAACATCGCCATCATAAGGCCCTCCATTGTGGGAGCAACCTGGCAGGAGCCTTTCCCGGTAAGTCCACTTGTCTGGATTCCTTGCTTTGCTTCCGAACCATCATCCTTCTCACCCAATTACTTTCCGAAGATGTCCTTTTCTCTCTCTCTCTTCTCAGAACGTATAGCTGAGTGCAGCAAATCAAATATGAACCCATTATATTAGGACAAATTTCACATTTGGTTCAGGATTTATCCAACATGAGGTTCTTCTGGAGGTTCTACTGTCTGTTCCAGAGTTGGATGGAGGTCTTACATTAGCCTCTCATTCACTGGAGTCTGAAAATTGTTGTAGCAGATAGTTTTAGTTCTTGGCTTCCCCACTATAGTTTAAATATACCAGAATGTTCTTGGTGGCCATTTTGGTAGTTTTATAACTGTCAGGGTAAATAGGAACCACAAAGTTCGCAGAAGGTTCTCAGTTTAGGAATAATTAATTTTTGCATCTGTGTATTGCTGTATCCTTTTGAATGTACACCGAATTATACTATCTTTTTTGAAGCAATTCTGTGAAGCTTTAGGGCCAAAAAAATTGAGCTCTATGACTTACTGAAAATTCAGGCTTTTGAGCAGTCTCATCTATAAACCTGGGCTCATGCTATTTTAGCCCAATACTGGACCCACATGTGGAGAGCCAATCAAATGAGACCATGTACAAGGAGTGTTTAGTGCCTGGTCCCTAGTTGAATAAATATTAGGTCTTCCCTCTTCTCTATTCTCCCTCCTCTCCTATTTAAACACACATTTTAACTTTTATGGATGAAGAAACAGACATAATAAGGTCAACTGACTTGCTTAGGGCTTAGGAGACAAGCTCAAGAAGACGTTTTTCCTCCAACAGCTCCATAACATAGTCTTCCCATGAACATCTCTGAGCAAGCTAATGCAAATAGAGTATGGATGCTCGACTTCTCAGATTTTCCAGAAATGGATCATTCCTACAAATCATGTTTGATATGTAGTGTTCCCCTGGGGAGTTAAAATCAGGCCTGAGGTGAAGAAAAGTGATGGCTAGTGACTTGGTTAGCAAGTTATGATATTAAGTCAAGGTTTAGTTTAACCTCTAAGATGTCATAAAACAAACTGAAACTCCCCATGACTCCTCCCTCCTATAAAAAAAAGATGCTGGCAGAATTTTCATTCTTGCACGAGTGCAGAAATATCCAGTGCTTTGCTAGCGATCTTTGTTTGTGATCTTAGATATATTGGATGAGACCATTCTATCAGCTGGGATCTCAGTGCTCTTGTTTGAAACTTACTAAAATCAGACTGCAGACATTGCATAGACGTATAATGATTTTCTGACATGTGTAACTAATAGAGATCTTTTTCTTTTAGGGCTGGGTTGATAACCTAAATGGACCTAGTGGGCTCATTATTGCGGTACGTATAATAATGTAGAAATAACTCCTTGGAAGGTAGTGGAGGAATGGTAATAAAATGCCTAGTGTTGGTTTAGCTTTATTGATCCAAATCCATAAGTGTTACTTTAGTAACTACAATTGAAGCTACTTAATCTCAATTCTGTTGGTTGGGAAATAGAGGCAGGATGAAATTACTTTTATTATTTGTAGATTTTATCAGGAAAGCAGAAGCACTGTGATATCATCAGTTACTCTTGAGTTTTATTTTTGGAAAGTCTGAGCATCAAGGACCATGTCTGCATTTCCCTTTAATTACCACAAGAGGGGAGTGTTTCCTCCTTTTCGCTATTTATTAATAGCTTGAATTAATACAGTAAATTGGGGAGGCAACAAAAATCACATTCTCAAAGATTATTCTTCATTATAATATGCATTCAAGAGTTAATGTGTATGAAAAAAAAAGTTAATGTGTATGGATAGAAATTTTATGTATAATAAAAATACATCAATAATAGTCCTCAACAGATACAAGAAAGAGAACCACCAATTAGAGCAAATTTTTCTCCTATAAAAATGAATGAATAGAGAAAACGCTTTTCACCAATACTCCTCTCCCAAACAAGGAGAAACATCAGCGGTGCCTCTAGGTCCCTGCAGTGAAGGCTGATCTAGGTGATGGGAGGTGTCCCGCAGCTCACAGTTCAGGAGGAAGCACTATAGGACCTGAACCGCCTCTCTGCTCTTTAGGATGATGAATAGGAATTCACTTCTCTCACTGAGTGTAAATCTTTTTTTTTTTTTTTAAAGATTTTATTTATTTATTTGACAGACAGAAATCACAAGTAGGCAGAGAGGCAGGCAGAGAAAGAGAGGGAGAAGCAGGCCTCCCGCTGAGCAGAGAGCCCGATGCGGGCCTCGATCCCAGGACCCCGGGATCATGACCCGAGCGGAAGGTACAGGCTTTAACCCACTGAGCCACCCAGGCGCCATCCTGAGTGTAAATCTTATTAGAAATGCCGTGCTTCTGAGCTAGGTCCCACGTGAACTAATATACAAACATAAGAGTGAATTATGACTATTTGTCAAAGACAGCAGCAGACAACTTCTGATTTCTTTCTAGCAGCCCCTCTCTTTTTGTTTCTCCACCTGTCTTCAACTCTTTCATTTTTTTTATTTTAAAAAGTATTTTATTTATTTGATGGTGGGAGGGGTAAAAGAGAGAACACAAGCAAGGGGAGCAGCAGACAGAGAGAGAAGGAGAAGCAGGCTCCCCGCTGAGCAGAGAGCCCTATGTAGGACTTGATTCCAGGACTCTGTGATCATGACCTGAGCCGAAGGCAGATACTTAACTGACTGAGCCACTGAGGCGCCCCAACTCTTTCATCTTAAAATCTTAGTTGGGGTGGGGCGCCTGGGTGGCTCAGAGGGTTAAAGCCTCTGCCTTCGGCTCGGGTCATGATCCCAGGGTCCTGGGATCGAGCCCCGCATCGGGCTCTCTCCTTGGTGGGGAGCCTGCTTCCTCCTCTCTCTCTCTCTCTGTCTGCCTCTCTGCCTACTTGTGATCTCTCTCTGTCGAATGAATAGATAAAATCTTTAAAAAAAAAAATCTTAATTGGGGTGAACATTTGGTAACTTAGAACATAATTATTTTTACATGATCCTAGAGTGAGGTTTATTATATTATTTACAAAGCTGCACATGGATGTAGATTTTCTAAAATCTTTCAGACTGATTTCTTACATAAAAAGGAAGGGGAATCAGTCACAAGAAAATAGAGATTAGGAATATAGGAAAGTGCTAACCACTGCAAATCAATGCTGGAAATATGCAGGATATCAATAACTTCATAAAGTCAGTGAACATGACTATTAACCTATATATTTATTGGTATGACTTATTTATTAATGTGAATAATTCCCAATTCTTACATTTATATAACATCTTTGAAGTGAACAAAGATACTGAGCAAAAAATGGTGGCCTTTCCTTAAGTAATAAAGAGTATTTATGGAATGGTAGAAGCCTATTAACTTTTTAAAATGTTTCTTAGACTTTTAGGATCTACTGTTGTTTGTAAGTTAGTGAGAACTAGCAGAAAATGGCATCACTTAAGAAATGCTAAACTGGGGGCGCCTGGGTGGCTCAGTGGGTTAAGCCTCTGCCTCCGGCTCAGGTCATGATCTCAGGGTCCTGGATCGAGCCCCGCATCGGGCTCTCTGCTTGGTGGGGAGCCTGCTTCTCCCTCTCTCTCTTCCTGCCTCTCTGCCTACTTGTGATCTCTCTCTGTCAAATAAATAAAATCTGAAAAAAAAAAAAAATGCTAAACTGAAGGGTGCCTGGATGACTCAGTTAAGTGTGTGCCTTTGGCTCAGGTCCTGAGATTGAGCCTTGTCTGGACTCCCTTTTCAGCAGAATGCCTGATTCTCTCTCTGCCTCTCCTCCCCATTTGTTCTCTTTGTCTCTCTCTCTCTTTAGGTTAAATAAATAAATAAAATGGTAAACTAATCTTAATGGAAAATTTGGGAAACCTTAGTTCTTAAGATATCTTATGAATTAATTGTTAAATGTGAAAAACTGTTCTTGGTGTTTGTTCATCAGCTGAACATACTAACCTCTCACAAATTGGAGGAACTCCACTCCTAAAGGAATCTGAGGACCTCTATGGAAATTGGCATTTGAGATGGACTTGGCCGGGGGTTGGTTGTGGGGGTGGGTTGGATAGGCTGAGAGAAGTCAGCCTTAGCATGATAACCTGTAAGCCCTGAGTCAGTGTTAACTGTTGTTAACTAGCAGCATTAATTTAGTATTAGTCCCAGCTGTTACTTAAAACTTGGTTCAGTACTTACTGTTCTTTTTCCTATGCAGGCTGGGAAAGGGTTTCTTCGGTCCATAAGAGCTACTCCGATGGCTGTGGCAGATTTAATTCCCGTTGATATAGTCGTCAATCTCACTTTGGCTGTGGGATGGTACACAGCCGTTCACAGGTGCGCATGTGGAAGCCGGCTTTCAAACATTTGATGAGGAGGAGGGTGAATATGTTAGGCTTATTTTCAAAATATGTGTGTTTGATTGTAGTAGACCCCAAATGTCAGAAAGGATCAGTCTTAATATTTTACATAGTTCCAAATATGCCATCACATATGCATGGAAATATTTTATAAATACTGCTTCATATTTTGGATAAAGTAGCAAACTCTAAACTGTTTAACCATAAAATTCTTATAACCCCAAAAGGCTTTTCTTTCTATTCAGTAGTCTAAAGTACAGCTCCCCTTTTTAAGGCAAAGGAGATAAAAGTGGGTGAAATAAAGGCATCTTTTATATTTTATACAACTGCTCATTTCCTGCTACATGCCAAAAGTACAGATCACCATGGGAGGGGCTGTTTCCAAGTACAGGGGGAAGAAAAAAAAAAAGGTTGTTTGTATATTTGACTCTGATAGTAAATGGTAAACAGAAATAAATTTTTATTTGAAGTCAGCCATTTAGATGTTTTCCAATACAACAGGCCTTAACTGGACTTAGAAGAAAACATAGCTGATATTTTGCCCAATAAACATGTCCAGAAGTTAGTGATATTATCTGCTTTCTCATTGTCATGTTACCTCCATCTGCTCCCTAAATACATCAACTTATTTGAGATCTCTTTCACATGCACACGCACAAATACACACATTCCTCGTCTACTTCCATTTTGCATTTTTACCCAAAGAAGGAACAAAAGATGGAAGTGTTGCCCTGGTTATGGGAATTATTGAAACATCCTTGCCTACATGTTGTTTTTCCTTATCTTTCTTTCATTTGTCCTCCATTTTGTTGTATTTATTTATTTTTTATTTCATTTTCCAGACCTAAGTCAACATTAATCTACCACTGTACATCTGGTAACCTCAATCCTTGTAATTGGGGCAAAATGGGTAAGTGCCTGTAGAGATATAACTACATAACTATTAGCATCTGCCCACACAGTAGTAGTGTCTACCACAGGGGAAAAATGTGGCAAAATGTGTCTTGGAGCTTTGAGTCTAATGGGAGAAAAAGATTAAAAAATAAGTACAAGATAAAAGAATTAGTAATTATCAATGTGTAAGAGTTAACTAGAATGTGCTGTGGAATATCAAAGAAGGGGTCAATGGGAATAATGTACATGATTGCAAGCAATAAGGGGTCCATTGACTATGAAGATTTTTTAAAATACATAAAACCGAGTGAAAGTCAGCACTTGTAAGTAACATCAGTGAGGAAATGCCCCTCCTGCTGAGGCGGGAGCTGCTCCCACGCCCACATCCCTTGTGCCCTGGCTACACCATCGAGACTGTGGGATCATCAATAACAAGTAGATGTAGGGTACTGAGTCAATAATACTCCTCACTGATTTATACAGCGAGCCACAAGTGTCACCTTGAAAGTATCTTATTGAATGGAAGTAATTAACCCTGCATTAATAGAAAATTAGCTAATCAATGTTGTACTCCGTCAATTTAGTTGATTTTCTGCAAATATCTGAAAATTTTAGATCCTCTACTCTTATTTAGATACTAGATATAGAAAAAAATCACATGTACTTAATTTGTTAGAATCTGATTTTCATTTCAGAGCACTCTCCTATGCTAATCTATTTGTAAAGTTATTTCAGAAAAAATGAAATTATCTACTGGCATCAAAGCTCTTTAGATCATATATCCAGTTACTTAGATCATATATCTGAGTAATTCTGAAAACATTTGGAATTAAAAATACATCTCCTCTACCTCAGTAACAGGATTAAGGTATTAAGGTATTTGTTATCACTCATAAAAAGAGGCATTAATAGAAGCAAACAAGTTATGTTAAGCTTGTCAATAAAAAGATGCTACATGTAAACTCCATTTCTGATGGAGTTCAAGTCTTCTTCCGTGCTGAAACCTCTTATTTTCCGTTTATCAAAGTATACGGTATCACAGTTGAAAGTAATCTTAGAAATAATCTAGTGGCCTTGCTTTATTTTATATATGAGACCCCAAGAGAGGAAGAGATCTATTCACATTCATGTGGAGGTCTGGTACCTCAAATATGAGTAGAGGACAGGTCTCTGTGCAGTACCCATTCTGGAAGGAAAAAGAGTCCAGATTCCTGGATCAGATGTTTCTTGAGAATCTCTTCTGTACAAGGTATATATTTTTTATACAGATTTCCAAGTAACACACTTTAAGGAGGATAATAATATTACCATGATAACTGATATAGTTATCATAAATAATGAACTTGGGTATATTCTTTGAAAATTTTACATTGGTAAAATCAATATTTAATTGGAATTAATATATTTTGAAAAGAATTATTTTACAAATATACATCAAGAGTCTTTTAACTTTTATCTAGGTTTTATCTACTTAATCATTAAAAAAAAATTGTGGAGGGGCGCCCGGGTGGCTCAGTGGGTTAAGCCGCTGCCTTCGCCTCAGGTCATGGTCTCAGAGTCCTGGGATGGAGCCCCGCATCGGGCTCTCTGCTCAGCAAGGAGCCTGCTTCCTCCTCTCTCTCTGCCTGCTTGTGATCTCTCTGTCAAATAAATAAATAAAATCTTTTAAAAAAAAATTGTGGAAAAAAAAATCTGGAGACAAAAGTGAATGGACAGTGGAGTCTGGGGTATCTATCCCCAGAGAAGCAGAAATAACAAAGAAGTAAAAGACGGGTATATAAGTGAACCAGCACAAGGGAATCCTGCCTTGATATGCGCTTTTTCACTTAAACATTTATGAAACTTTAACCCTTTTAAAAGTTTAAGTAAAATATGAAGAAACTTTCCTGATGGTTCTACAACCAATGATCCTACCTAGGAAAGAAGGCCTTCTGGCTCTGTCTTGGAGCTTTTGGAATAGACTAGATAACCTGGGAATCAAATGATGGATTTATGTTTTTCTGAACAATACTTCACTGTATTGATTGAAACTATTTCCCTCAAGAAGTTGTTTTAGATAAAGGTTTCAGGAAAAGGACCCACTTTGTAACCCATTCTCATTATTTGATTTTGTAGGTGACCTCTTGCCTCGCATAAATATCTTAATATTGTTCTCAGAGATTGATTCTAGATTCTTCACAGCAATCACTAGTCTTTATCATTTTGACCCATTGCAAATGCCCTCCACTACAGTGGGCTTATATGCTTCTAGACTTAGTACTCTGTTTTCTTCCCCAGGAATCCAAGTCTTGGCAACTTTTGAAAAAGCCCCATTTGAGAGAGCTTTTAGGAGGCCACATGCAGACTTCACAACCAACCTCATCATAAGCCAGTACTGGAATGCTGTCAGCCACCGGGCCCCTGCCATCATCTATGACTTCTATCTGCGGCTCACAGGAAGGAAGCCCAGGTGAGAAGCCAAGTCAGTGGCTTTAAGAGTGTTATTGCATGGAAGATTTAGGCCCCAGAGTACAGCCCTCCTTTCATCTGGGGGTTGAAGATGACAACTGAATCGTGTATAAATTTAGGGCCAACTGAAGCAGTAGTAATGAGAAGTCCTAAAGGGACCCCTACCTTAAAAATCCTCTATCATAATAAAGGAAGGTAAATGTTGAGAAACTTGGTCAATTCAGCAAGTAGTCATCCAAAAAGCAAAGCAAAGGAGACTGTAAATCTGGGGTTTTCTAAACTGTTAGGTAATCTTAAAATTGTGCAATGATGGTAACACACACACACACACACACACACGCATGCACACGATAACGTGGGATGATCTCGTTTTCATTCGCACAACAATCCAGAGAGGATGTACTCCTAACAACAATTTTACAAATAGGAAATAGAAGCTAAGGGAAGAATTTAAAGTAGTGTAGAAGTGGAAAAGAGGAGAGATCTGGAGAAACCTGAACTAGAGTTACTGCCATCTAGAGGCAAGTAAAGAAATTAAAGGGAACAAGGTAGAATGAAATGTGCTATCGCTGAGGCCGCTCTGTCGCCACCTAGCTGTGAGACTTAGGACCTAGCCCTTTCTTTCTGTCTCCCTTGAATTTTGTATTTGTCTGAAGAGCCATCATTATTATAATTACCAAATGCAATCCCTGCGAGCAAGCGTGGGAAGCATGAATAGCATTGCTTTCCTTGCTAGTCTCTTTATGGAGGCAGTCTCTCGGTATGTTTAATTTCCATCCTTATTAGTAGTGCAAATGGCTAAAGCTTAGGCAATGTTACATTTATCCAAATTTTCAGAGACCTTATTTAGAGCTCATAACTCAGTAATCATCAGGTTCTTCTTGAGCAAGATGAAAAGGAGACACTGTAAATATTTGTATGGGGCTGATTAAATAAAAGTGGGAAAAGAAGGAATACCAAACATTATAGGCAGAAACAGGTAAGTCTTTAAAATTTATCAGGGTTGGAAGAAGACCTGGATAAAGAGCAAAGTTCTGCAAGTAGAAAAGAAAAAAGATGAAAGGGAGCCAATAAAAATTTTTATGGCAAAAATGCTAGAAATCAATGCAAAAAATGCTAGAATCCTTTTAGACTCTTTCCCTTCCCAAGTACATTTGTGTGTAATCTTCTATGCATTTACAACCATATATAGACATATATGTAGTTTTGCTTTGAGTTGTGTAATTCAAGCCTACATATTTTCCAACTTTTTTCCACTAATGTTCCTTGAAAGTCTAAGTCCTTCTGCCTAGTGTTGTTTTTTCCTGTTATGGTGGGGTAATGAATATCAGTGCACCTACATTTTTTTAGAATGTACCACTGGGTCTGGGGTGGAGGCGATCTGGATTTTGTCACTACCTAGTTTGCCCTAAAGGAAGCCTCTGTCAATTTGCACATCAGCACAGAAGGGTAAAAATGTGTTTTTAATTACCCTCATCAGTAGCTGACCAAAAAAAAAAAAAAAAAAAAGTGTTTTGAATTGTCAGACTAATGGCAATGAATGGCATCTCTTTGTTACTTTGATTTGCCTTCCCAATTGCTAGAGGGGCTGGGCTTTCATTTTTTTCATTGGACATTCAAGGTTTCTCCTCTGTGAGTTGTCTGCCTCTGCTTCTCACCTATTTTTCCATTGGATTGACCATATTAATTTATAGAAACTCATTTATGTGCATAAATATTTAATGTATTTTCTCCAACTCAATTTCTTATCTCATAGCTTTATGAATGAATCTTTTTCTAATACAAGAGGACTACATACAATGTAGGTCTTAAGAGCATGGAGTTTAGAGTCCGACTTACACATTTAAATCCTGGCTTCACCAAGTCAAGGGCCATGTGAGCCCTAAATTATTGTCTGTAATACCTAACTGCCTCACCTGTAAAAAGGGATAGTAATCATACCTATTTTATGAGGTTTTATATAACAGGGCATAGAATATAGTAATCACTGTTATTACTAAAGTTTTAGGGATGACTGGGTGGCACAATAGGTTAAACATCTGTCTTCATCTCAGGCCATGATCCCAAAGTCCTGGGATCGAGTCCCATGTCAGGCTCCTTGCTCAGCAGGGCCTACTTCTCTCTCTGCCTGCCATTCTCCCTGCTTATGCATCCTCTCTCTCATTATAAAAAAAAAAAGAAGAGAAAAAATCTTAAAAAATAAAGTAGTTCTACGTTTTTATGTGATAAAATGAATAAAGGAAAAAAGTCTTTTATGGCTTGTGTTAAGAATACCTTCTGTGCCTGAAAGTCATAAATATATTCTAAGAAAAAATACTATTATGCTGATATATTCCTGTACATAGGATATCATTCTACAATGCTTATTTTAAAAATTTAAATAAATTTATTGAAATCACATCAATGACGACAGAGTTGTAGAAGGGGCAAAGATTGCCATTATCCATTTGGGCTGCTATAGCAGACTATCATAGATTGGGTGGGTTATAAACAACAGAAGTGGATTTCTCATGGTTGCAGAGACTGGGCGGTCTAAGATCACAGTGCTGGTAGATTCGGCATCTGCTAAAGACCTGCTTCCCAGTTCCTAGACAGCCGTCTGTGTCCTCACATACTGGAAAGGCTGAGAGATTTCTGGGGTTTCTTTTTATTTATTTGACAGATGGAGATCACAAGCAGGCAGAGAGGCAAGCAGAGAGAGGAGGAAGCAGGTTCCCTGCTGAGCAGAGAGCCCGATGCAGGGGCTCAATACCAGGACGCTGGGATCATGACCTGAGCCGAAGGCAGAGGCTTTAACCCACTGAACCACCCAGGCGCCCCTGGGGTTTCTTTTATAAAGGGCACTAATCACCTCCCAAAGTCTTCTCCATATACTATCATTGGTGAGAATAGGTCTAAATATGTGAACTTGGAGAGGAGGAAGGGAGATACATTGTCGACAGCAAAAAGTAAGATGATAATAGCCAAATGGAACCCTTTTACGATGCTTGTATCAGGGAATAATGAGTATACCTTCTGCCTAGGAATTTCCCATGATACAATGAGAAGTCCCGCAGAAGACATTAGGTAAATGGGTATTAGGATTTGACCAGAAGTAAGACCAAATTCCCAAAATAGCATCACAAGTCATTATTGGGTCAACTACAGTAATGACTACTGCTAACCTGGCCTAAGGTAAATGTTCTATGGGCTAAAGTGATTCGTAGCCAGAAGATCTAGGTTGCTGCATTTGCTGTGTGGCCTTGAACCTGTTAATCCTTCTATAAGATGAAGAGTACAGATCTTTACTACCTGTGAGGATCAAATAAGAGCATCAAATATGAAAGTTTTCCATAAATTGTAAATTTGGCAAGTTCACACAGCGGAGCTGGTCCCTGTCCTGACCACAGGGCAGGAAGATGCCAGCCATCAGAAGAAATGGGACACAAGAGTGGTGAGATTACAAAAGCAGAGGCTTTTTTAGGTCGGTCAAAACTGGGCTGGAATTTTCCTTTTGGTGCCTGTATTATCACGGCCACTTAATCTATCTTAAGCTCACTTTGCCCATTCATAAAATGTAGATACAAAGCTACTTAGCAGAGATGCAATGAGAACTAGGTGAGACAATAATTTTTTGAAGCATCAGCACGGTGCCGGACAGTGGGGTTATCATCTAGTAAGTTCTTTTCCGGTATCAGGCTGCACTTTTAAAATGTTTGCTAATTTTTTGGTTTTTTTTTTTTTTAAGATTTTATTTACTTGAGAGAGAGGGAGAGTGAGCATGAGAGGGGAGAGGGTCAGAAGGAGAAGCAGACTCCCTGCTGAACAGAGAGCCCAATGCAGGACTCAATCCCAGGATTCCAGGATCATGACTTGAGCTGAAGGCAGTCACTTAACCAACTGAGCCACCCTGGTGCCCCAAAATATTTGCTACTCTTGAGAAAAAAGAGAAGGTAGTAGAGAGGAAGAGGAGGAGTTCGATGGTAGTAAAATGACTAATCAAACAAACTCCCTTAGATTCAATATTCCTTCATTCAACAATTAATGTGGACAGAGAAAAAAGAATACGTGTTTTAATGAGGAAGTGGGGGAAAGAGGGAAATTTTTTATAGTTTCTGAAAAGTAATTTGTCACTCATCCTATAAAGTAGTAACAGGAAAGCAGCCAGCAGTGGTGTGCTGGTATTTGCTGATATCTCTTTACCCCAGGATGACAAAGGTCATGAATCGGCTTTTAAGAACAGTTTCCATGCTGGAATATTTTGTCAACCGGAGTTGGGAATGGAGCACATACAATACGGAAATGCTGATGTCTGAGCTGAGTCCTGAAGACCAGAGAGTAAGTAGAGTGCTGGCAACCAACAGGAAAATCTTGCTCATTTGTAACTTAGAATTATTTGACCTGGAAATCTGACCAAGTTTTAGTTATATACACAGAATCTTTTTTTTTTTTTTTTTGGCTAAGAAAACCAATCCATGCTATTGATATAACTACAGGATATAAGTTAATGTAGATAAGAGACCTGGGTTCTTGACTGGTTAGAGCCTCACTGCTATCCTGCAGTCACATTTCACATACTTTGCTTCGATCCCTGTTTGCCTTTGGAGGTGGTTTTCAACAAACCTCTATATTTTCCCTAATCTCACAACATAGGACTTCAATGGAAAAAAAAAATCATAATTTTACTACTCATAAATGCATCCATCCTTCTTGTTAAATCAAAATCGTTCTACATCTCCAAAGCTACAGTTCTTTCCTTCTTTTTAAAGCTAAACCCTCCTCACATGTGCATCCCACTAAGACTTCTCTCCCTCTCTAGCACACTGACACCCAGACAGCCTCTCTCTCCCTCTAATGACCTGTCTTCAACAATCCAAGCATCTCTCAAGACATGCCTTCACTCTAATTGCTTAGCACCGGTGCCATTTCTTTCCTTCCATTAGCTTCTTGGCAGTTGCAGACATTAAGTCCTGAGATCTTTCCATATTCTGAAATTCACAAACATAGAAATCTTTTACTTTGTACATGTTCCTAGCAGTTTTCTTCTCAAGAAGTCATGTGTTCCCTGAGCAAAGCCTTAGTTTTCAATTAAACTTTAAAGTTTTCACTCTTGACATTATCTAATTTTTTAAAGAAAACATTTTTTTAAAAGATTTTTTATTTATTTGACAGAGAGAGATCACAAGCGGGCAGAGAGGCAAGCAGAGAGAGAGAGAGAGGAGGAAGCAGGCTCCCTGCAGAGCAGAGAGCCCGATGCGGGACTTGATCCCAGGACCCTGAGATCATGACCTGAGCCGAAGGCAGAGGCTTAACCACTGAGCCACCCAGGTGCCCCCAGAAAAAAGCATTTTTTTTTTTAAAGATTTTATTTATTTATTTGACAGAGAGAGATCACAAGCAGGCAGAGAGGCAGGCAGAGAGAGAGGAGGAAGCAGGCTCCCCACTGAGCAGAGAGCCCGATGCGGGGCTCGATCCCAGGACCCTGAGATCATGACCCGAGCCGAAGGCAGCGGCTTAACTCACTGAGCCACCCAGGCGCCCCCAGAAAAAAGCATTTTTAAAAGATTTTATTTATTCATTTGAGAGAGAAAGCACAAGCAGGAGGAATAGCAGAGGGAGAAAGAGAAAGAGTCCCTAATGAGCAGGGAGCCCAACATGGGATCAATCCCAGGACCCTGAGATCATGACCTGAGCCAAAGGCAGTCACTTAATTGACTGAGCCCACCAGGAGTCCCCAAAAAAGCGTTTCTTGAGTTACCTAGTACTTGGCAGCATGTAGAAGAGACCAAGTCACACTGAGAGGGAAACATTAGAAGGCCATAGCTCGCCTCACTTGCCAGCTAAGGGATTTACTTCTACATTCCAAACTCATATAACATGATTCAAATCCAAGCTCTAGAATTACTTTGGGTCGTGGAACCTAAGAGTTACTTGCAAATCAAACACTGTGTTACAGTAAATACACCAGGTGACATTTAGAGGGATTTTTTTTTTTAAGATTTTATTTATTTATTTGACAGAGAGAAATCACAAGTAGGCAGAGAGGCAGGCAGAGAGAGAGGAGGAAGCAGGCTCCCCGCTGAGCAGAAAGCCCGATGTGGGGCTTGAACCCAGGACCTGGAATCATGACCTGAGCCGAAGGCAGCGGCTTAACCCACTGAGCCACCCAGGCACCCCTAGAGGGATGTTTTAACTGAGATAATTGCTGACCCTCTCTAAACCGGACATGAACTAGAGCTATTTTCAGAAATGTTTATGTACCTTGTATAGACAAAGATTATTCTAAGCACGTGTTTGAAATGTAGAGCTAATGATCAAATTAGCTTATTAAAAAAAAAAAAAAGCTACCATAAATTATGTGTAAAATTAGCTTCAAGTTTTAGGTAGGCTTATTTTTATTGCATTCTCTCCATGGAATAGATCCATCTAAATAATTCAAAAGGTAATAAGCTTAGAGTTCCATTTTTTTGACATATTACTATTTTAACCTAAAATAACCAAAAATTTTGTGGAAAAAACCAAATCTGCTATGGATTTAACATATGCTTTCAAAATATCTTAGCAAAGGTAATAGTCCTGAATAATTGGATATAATTGCCAAACTCCAGTTTAGAAATGAGTTTGACTCACCCTATGGGATGAGAATTCTAAACTTTAGGGCTTCATTGAAATCTAACTTAGAAATGTGAAATAGTATAAAATAAAAGCCTCTTTTTATACAGATGAATAAGTTATATTTAGTGCTACTATTGAAAACAAACATATCCAAAGTAATAAAAAAATTACCTTTGGAAAGCATTTCAGCTGTTGGACAAGTCTATGAAGCTCTCTCGAACTTGTTAATCTCATCTATTTGTTAATACTCCATATTATTTCACAAAGATTTGGGATAACTTGCAGTAAGCATATATAATTAAAGAACAAAATAGAAATAAAATGCCAAACTAGGGAAAATTTTAAAACATGAACTCAAGGATAAGAAAAATAGAATGTCCATCCATGTGTAGTCTAAGAGATCTTATCCAAGTCAGTGCAGTTAAGCAGGGACTTTGTTTCTGAACCTTCTGGTGGCGAAGTGAAAGGGAAAAATATAGTTCCATGGCATTCTGTGTCCAAGAGGAGGAAATGCACTAGTGTTCCAAGAGAAGCAAGCACTTCACTCATACCACTTAGCTCTAAATGTTTTTGAAGGGCTTCATTTAACAGCACACATAGTGGATAACTCCTCTAAAACAAATACAGAATATAAATTCTGCTAAACTTTTCCTTAAGGCTTTGCTTATCCACAGTTTACCTTAATCTGCAAAATGAAGTAGGAAAGGATGGTAGGCCAAGGGAACACCACCAAAATTCAAGAATGGGAAAGAAAAGCACTATTTGTTTTGTTCCCTAACCAAAGTTATTCCAACACTTTTAAAAATAATTAACCTCCATTTACTTGAAATAAATTAGCTTTCACCAGATTAATGCCAGTTCCTTTAAATTTCCCTCACAAGACTTCCCAAAAGTTAAATATTTGTGCTTGATCTATGCTTAAATATTTGTGTAAATGGTAACCCATATAGTCAGTGCCTTTGAAGTAACAGCTCTAATAATCTCCTTTGGAGGGGTCCAACCTAAGTCTTTCAAACCAAACGTCACTCATTTATGTAAAAGAAGCTTCATCAAAAAAGACAAGGTGATTGTCTCCAGCAGTGAAAATCTGGCAACCCATAATCTCATCTTGCCTTTCAGGTATTCAACTTTGATGTGCGCCAGTTGAACTGGTTGGAATACATTGAAAATTATGTTTTAGGAATTAAGAAGTACTTACTGAAAGAGGATATGGCTGGGATCCCAGAAGCAAAACAACATTTGAAAAGGTAAGCATAATCAGTCAGTTAATATTTATTAAGCACTTACCACAAATACCTGATTTTATACCAGACATGAAATTTGAGCAAGGGAGAGGAGGAATTAATATTTCCCAAGCATTTACTACATTACAGGTCCTTCCTTGTATATTCTCCCCTTGTAATACACTGTTTCAGCTAGTTATCACCACACCTGTATGAGGGAGATGTTATTTTATTATCCCATTTTTCTTTTTTTTAATCAACTATTTAGACTCAAAGAAGGTTAAGTAACTTGTCCATGGTAAGACATGGGAAGTAGAGGAACCAGATTTGAATCCAAGTTTGTTTCTTCTACCACATCCTGTCATAATGTGATATAAAGAATACCAAAAAGCAGATAACTTGACTGTGCTCTTTAACATGAGCAAATCACTCAACCATTCTTGAAGTCCTTAAACTGCCTTAAATTCCTTTCAGTCCTTATTCCACAAGGGACAGAGAACCAGAACAGTCTGATTTAATTCTCGTAGAAGCAAAGGGCTTTTAATGCAGAGATTATAAGCTTGGAAAAGTAAATTGCAAACAGAGGAACCTTGAAGCAGGCTGAGAACTTTAGAACTTACCTTCTACTGAACAAGAACCAGTGAAGATTTGTGGTATGATCAAAGTATATTTAAGAAAGATTATGTTAGTCATGTTTGTAAGATTGGTTCAAGTAGGGAGAGGTATGGGAAAAAGAAACTAGTCAGGGGAATACTATGGAAATCTGATTATTCAGAAGGCATGCTGTGGAGTAAGAGCTATAAAAATCAAAAGGTCATAAGGTCATGCCACATACCTGTGGGCACCTAACAATTTGCTGGTCACAACTAGAAACAATACACTTAGGCTTCAGATAACACATTTGGGTCTTTGGTGCTGTTTTAACTTTGGTTCTATATGTCTGTCCCCCAGGCTCCGAAATATTCACTACCTCTTTAACACTGCCCTCTTCCTCATCGCATGGCGCCTTCTCATTGCAAGATCTCAGATGGCTCGGAATGTCTGGTTCTTCATTGTGAGCTTCTGTTATAAATTCCTCTCCTACTTTAGGGCACTCAGCACGCTTAAGGTGTAAGAACATTTGGCAAGCTCCTTTTATCTGGAACCTTTTGGATACCTCTAAAACAGCAAACTGTGGTTCTCAAGATTAGGAAGTAACAAAGAATATGCCCAAGCTCATTACCTGTCAAAGTGTTGTCTTCACCTGTTTCTTACCTATATATTTTATTTCTGTGAGAGAAGGAAAGTCATATCCTAGCCTATAATCATCCGTATCTTAGGAAAAATTATTTCCAGATTGCTTCCTAATACTCCATTCTGTGCCCTTGAATATAAAACACCAAAGTACATTTATCTGTCCGTATTTAGGGTTTTTTCTCTTCAGAGGACTAATTTTTGACTCAATGAACGTGGAAGAACACATGATATAAGCTGAAATAGGCTAAAGAAAGGCAGTTCTAACCTTGGAATCATTCTGGGATACCCAGTATAAAAGTTTAAAGTCAAGATTAAGTTGAGGAAGAATGATCTTTGCAACCTCAGAAATACTGTAAAAGAGATAATTCTCTACTGAAATCTCAGTGTCCTTTTTCTGTTATACCATGAAGACCTGTTGAAGGCTGGGAGAACTGGAAAAGTGGATTCACATCTAGCACTTCCCTCAACTATTTCTGAAATCTAAAAAAAAAAAAACAAAAAATTAGGTGTAAATAATTATGTATAGAAGGAGAGCTCAAGCATAGTTGCATTGGTACCGATTATGCTTGTAAGTAAAATTAGTTCTCATAATTTGAATCTGACAACTTTTATTTCTAAATCTTTTGAGTCACCCATTTTCCTGATAACCTTCTCTCAGGAGTTTCCTTTCTGTTCACCGAAGTCACCAAACCCCTTATATTTATTTTGCTCAGCCCTCAGAGCGAGAGTGACTGATGGAACGTCCTAGGCTAGAATCTTAAAAAAACAAAACAAAAAAACCCACAAAAATTCAGTCCCCTGATCTTTGCCAGTGAGGATGGCAAAATTTTAAATATAAATGAAAATGTTAGTTTAAGTCTTTTTCTGGGAAGTGGGGAAGATTACCCTTCTGTGACCACCAGGACTTGCTAGTATCTTATCATTCCAGTTACACAATACTAACTGTGCAACGTACAGCAGAAGAGACTTCACTAACAGACTGTCACTTTAGAGAGTAAGTGTTGTTTTATTTAAAAATATTTTATGTATAATACCAATGAATTAGTAAAAACTATTTATTCTCAAATCCCTATATTAATAATATAACTGTTATCCTGACTTTCCTTGCATTTGAGAAATCAATGTATGTTGGATTGCAGCATTTCATGTTAAAAATATGGAATATTCTTCAAATATAGTATTTAGGGCCTCAGCAACTAAAATAAAAACCCACAACCACTAGAAAATTACACGAGCATAAACTGGCAAGGAAGGCAGTTATATGTATACTCACTTTCCAGATTAATTGGTAATACTCAGAAAGCATGTGCACGTAGTTGTAGTGCATAAGGCTTGAAGGGCAGCTTCTAGTCCAGTATTACTTGAGATTTTTCTGAACACCATAAAGGGCATTTGGGGGGGAACTCTTCTGGGCAGTATCTTTTCGAATCTCATCTAAAGGTCTGGGAACTCCCTTCCAGGGCACACAACCCAGCTCTGAAACAAAGCACTTGGTGATCTTTAATTTGAGAGGTCTAGATGATACTTCTGAGCTACACTGAGATATAAACTATAGATATGATAAAAAGAAATCAAGTTATAATTCAATGAGATGGGATAAAACACAATTATTCTAAGAATTTACTATCTTTTGATTGTTTCACCAATTCCATAAATTCCACTGATCAAGTATTCATTTTGACTTTTGATTAAATGAAAGTTTGAATTAAAAAAATGTTTTCCTCTTCTAGTGTTGTATCTTTAACTGCTGACTACTACAGATTTCCTCCCTCCCCTGAGGAAAAAAGATAGAATTTTCCAAAGAAACTACCAGAGGAGTATAAATTTTAACACACAGATACTAATGCTTAAACATTTTCTGATACCATTACCAGTGTTACATTTACACGCTGAAGCATGTTTTATCTGTGGCATTAAAGAAATGATACAAATAAAGTTCTGTGATGATTAAGCAGTAAAAATAGGTATCGGTATGAAAGAAAATCCCTAATTATTTTCTATCAAGACCAATTAACAATTATTTGAAAGCCTAATACATACAATTACAATGTAATGAGAAGAACCTACTTTTGGGGAAAAGAGGATGGACGGTAAGTGCAAAGAAAAGGTATCTATGTTTAAAAAGAAGTTTTGGTAATCCCTATATTCTTTACCCACAACATACCTGATAGAGTAATGACTATTTCAGAGTTAAAAACAGTCACCACCTAAAGCAATTAATACTAGAAAAAGTTGAAGCAGACTGGCATACAACTCAGAAAAAACATTTAAGATAACTTACTAACTTTATACTAATCATCACCTCCAGTTAACATCTCATTCAAACAGCTGATTTAGAATCACTCATTCACTTTTTAATATGAAAATACAAAAGAAATCCAATCTCATACAGTAATTTGGCTCTATCTGGAGCAAAAGCAAATATAACAGAGTGGTATTTAAAGACTGCCACAGTTTTCCTATGAGGAAAAAAGCTTATATATAAGGGACTGGGTCTTATTTGGGGGTACACGACAAAGAGGACAAAGAAATTTGTATTTGTCATTTTACTCAGAGTCCCAATTGTTAAGGATTGAGACTCTAAAATTGTATATCCTCTTTTCTCTTAAAAAAAAAAAAAAAAACAAAAAAATCCAAGGCAGTTTGTTTCCTACTGTTACGACAATGCAAGGTGATTTTATCACTAACAAATATTTCAAAAGTGGGGAAAAACTACAATAAGGAAATACTGGGACATTAATCCAGGCATCATACCATAATGTAGTGAATACATGGTGATCGAGTTTGGATAGTGCTGACAAAGGGTGGCTCACTTTGGCTTGCAGGTTTGCAATAGAGCTCCAAACAGAAGTGGAGGGACTTAAGCACTATGTTAAAGGGCATGATGAAATTTTAAAGGTCATCTGGCTCAGGTATAAGTATTTTTAAACAATGAAAATAAACATCTTGAACTTGAGTTCAAGATTCAAAGTTTTAAATTTTGAAGCGGACAAGATGCATATAAAATTTCCTTTCTGGTACCTGAATTACTAACCCAGAACATAAAAAGGATGCATAAAATATCCCTACAGATACCATTAAAAAATTAGACCTTAAGTCATTCCTTTACGAATTCCAAAGTTAGGTTTATATTAAAGACTGCAAACCTTGCTTGCATTAGTAATTTTTCTATGAAAATTCAGTGCTATCATAAAACATATATGAGAAAAATGTGGTATTAATCATCTAAATTGAGAATTAAAAGTGATTTTGTAATTCTAATACTGCATTAAGCTTTTCCCAAGAGGTCATCTGTACTGTACAAATACCACAGCAGAGAATTATTCACCTAAATATTTCATCTCTTTTTCTAGACCAAAGTATACAAAACACAGTTTTTTAAAAATCTATTTCATAGAAGCTGAAATCTCAACTTTTAAAATATTTAGACTGGAATATATAAATATTATGAATAAAGAAAAAGGATTGAGTAATAAAGTTGGGTACCCTACTGAGGACACCCTCCCCCAAGCACAAGCCAAAGCTCCGTAAGAAGCAGGTCAGCACAGTGTTCTCTGCAATGGAAAAGAAACACTTGGTGAGGTCAAAAACTCCTAGCAAATCCCAATATGTAGGCATACTTCATCATTCACCATCCAGAAGGCTGATCAGAATCTTACTACTTTGATGGCAAAAAACCTGACTTTTACTATTTGAGGACAGTCAGGTAGCAAGTTTTCTTAACTATTAAAGTGTAAATCAATGGCAAAGCAAGATTTTGCTTTAAAGAAATTGCTTTTATAGTCAGCTTTAATGGGACAGGTTAGTTACATTAAAATTTTAATAAGGTATTTGGAAAACATGGGAACAATTAAAAATCATATGTAAGCACCAAAACAATTTTAAAATCTTTTTAAAGACACTTTAAAATCCTAAAATCCTAACTGAAAGAAAGTAATTTTAAATCAATAGTTTTACCTCCCTTAAAAAAAAAATACAAGACTCTGAAACTTGAATGAACTTTCTGGAAAGCAGATTCACAGAACCAAGATTCAGTCTAAGATTGCTAAAATTCTAAATAAAATTTCTTTTGAGAGATGTTCTATAGTTCCTTGTCTAACTTCACTGGAAATACTATCAAAAAAAAAAAAAAAAAAACAACAGAGAAGGCGCATTCGTTATTTAGAATTTTCTGGAACAAAAAAAATCTTTCAGAGCATGTTATGTCACCTGTGTTAATCAGTCAACTTAATGGCTCTTAGTGGTAAAGTGTGTATTTTAAACAATAATGCTTTTACTTCCTGCAGTGCCATTTAACATAAGCTTTACTTCAGAGCAGTTCCAACAGTATCTCTCCTTCTCTCCACTGACATCATCTGTACCAACTACTTTCAAGAAAACATTTATCTTTAAAAAAAAAAAAAAATCCATTTGTAAAACTGTAATCTGTGACATCCTATGTCCAAAAACCACCATTTAAAAACTAGTCTTTTAGTCTTGTCCTTGCTACTTACCTGGAATTTTATTTCCCCTTTTCTCTGAAGGACTTCAACTGTTGGGGATTGGTAGTTGACTCTATCATTAAGTATTAAAAAAAGGAAAACTGATGTTGGCACACATATTCCAAATACAGTTTTTAATGGCACCTGAGTGAAATCTCCCTCATTATTTTTAGTCTTTCATAATCTGGAAATTTAAAAGCAATCCTTAAATAATAAGGAAGCTAGAACAACACACTCTAATAACAAAATCAATCACATTCAGGACACTCTGAATGCAGACACTCATAATCCAGGTTTACAGCTTACCAGACACTGTTTAATGATAATATCTCAGATCTGACATGATCTTGCCTTATTTAAGTATTTGCCTCATGTTTCTACTTTATTTAAAGTTACCCTGTTGCCTCTCACCCAAACATGTATAAAATAGTCTGTTTTTCCATTTAATACTTTACAAGCTGAGAAGTTTCCTCACCAGCAATGGACCTTTGTATTACTCACCACCTGCTCCCAAAGTATACCAATAACACAAGGAACAGATTAGAAAATTGAGCATCTTTTTTAAAAATGTGCTTTCTTCTGCCTGTATAAGTAAGTGCCCACTATACAGTATGTGAATGATATCTGTTACATATTATAGCACCTATGTACCTGCCTCCATAAGAATTCACCTTAGTCTTCCACGACCCTGCCTTGAACAGTCAGAAAAAGCCAATAGCCAGAGTTTAAAGAAAAGCAGTTACCTTCCTCAGACCAAATTATTGGATAAATGGCCTTGTCATTATGGCTTAACATTGATATGGCTATAACATAGGGACCCATCCCTGTTTCCCTTTATTACCTGACCACAACTTTTTAAAGTCTAGACTAGTTTTCCATATGTTTTACATATTTTATTCTGACATATCTTTTAAAAACAGAAGGATGCAAACATTTGCATTTATAATCCCTTTTTCTTTAGATGTGGTTTGACTTCTTTACTTCAGGCTCTTTCACCAAGAAGCAAGCTCTGATTTCGATACTGCCCATTTCTATGAAAATATCAGAAGGGGTCATCTTCAAAGCAATACTTCAGTTAGGCTTATTCACTGATTAGCTGCATAATTTCTTCTAGGACATTTGTAACAGACACAACATATATAGGATTTCAGTTTGGGTTTTTCTTTTTTTTTTTTCCCCTAGGTATGATTCCCACTTCTCATTCATATTTTCTTTTCTTTGAATATATTGCACAATATTTTATTATTAAAAAAGGTTTTATGTCTCAGGCAAAAAGTTTTTCTCCTTCACTCAGGAGGTGCTAATGTGTATTATTCTCTAAAAGAGGTAAGTGGTTGTCTGTGTGGCCATCCTCAAAGGGGACCTAGGGAGAAGAAAAGACCAAAGCATTAGTTTTATTCCTTACACATCCCCTCTAAACACAATGCTTTATTTTGGGCAATTTCTTTCTGAGCACCAAAAGCTACTGTTTAGGTTTAACAATGGTACTATGAGTTAGAGGTCAGCACCATTTCTACTATAGCACTTACAGAACTGACAGGTTTGTAGGATCCAAGTCTGAAACGACAGTAAATTATTTCAACTATAAATTTCCCAAATCCATGTAACATGCCTGCAATAAAAAATAAGTTTTTAATTAAATGATGCTTTTATTGAAATTACTTCCTAATTATTTCCTAAATTGTTACATAAGAATAAAAAACTCCACTAATTATAATGGAATAGATTAAGAAAGGAAACAAGGCAGTTTGCTTTATTCATTTCAATAGTTAAAAACAGACAGTTGAATTTTAGAACAAATAGATTTCAAAATCACAAGGCCACATAATTCATGAACTTGACAAAGCAATCTTATCAAGCGTGCTTTATATGTCTTATATTCATACCATTTTGAAAAAATAATATCAGCACCCCAAATTTAAACAAACTGAAAGTAGCAACAAAGTCTTTCATAAGAAAACCATTCATTTAAAAAATAAAATTCAAAGTATGTAAGTAATACAGCTCCATGTAATACTGAAAAGGGTTGGGGATAAAGAAGGAACTGTTTCCTTTCTTTATCTATTATACTTAATGCTCAAATTTTCATGATTATGATTCTGCAAGTTATCTTTGAGAGAATCTCCTAAGTTCAGGACAAAAAAAGCCCCAAATCATAAAAACAGTATGGACTGAACATTCTGGTTGCACACATTACATGGTTCAAAGTAGATAAGATTTGATTTTACATATTCTACAGTTAAAAATACCTTATATGAAAAAGAAAATTTACATTCAAGTGTCTACTATTTCTAGGCATTTTCTCATCTAATCCTACAACACACTTGTAAATTAGACACTTATGATTATTCCCATTTTTATAGATGAAAAAACAATTTCAGAAAGGTAGGTGTCCTATATTACAAGGCTACTACCATGTAAATGGCAGAACTTGGATTCAATTTTAGGATCTTTCTAGGTAAGTAATCTCCCTAAAATAATTGAATGCAGTGAACTTAGTTATGTTTAATGTGTAATCAATGTAATTTTGGAAGTTTGGAATTAAATCTTAGAAAAAATTCTTTAAATATCAAAACATGGGAATGAATACATTTCTTGCTCCTTCTAAGGGAAAGCATCTTAATTTCAGTAACACTTTTAGAAATTAGACAAGGAATGAAGTTTAACCTGTTGTTGAAAAGATTCCTCCAACAATACCACAGAGTCTTACAAAAAACTGCCAGAAAGGCATATGCTCCTCAGTAACTGTTACCATAAGAGAACTGAGATCATATTTCATAAATATCCCAGAGACTCCATGGCTGCCTGCAGCATGGTTAATGACACGTTCCTAAAATGAAGGGGAGAGACAGGAGAAGGAGAAAAATGGGATTCACATCATCTGGTTACTTGCACACTTAATATGAAGCCCTGCAGCCCAAATGTACAAGAGGGATCTCCAAATCTCCTTACGAATTGTCCTACTAGACTAAGCTCTTCAGAGACAAATTATTCTGTATTCTTCGTGTGATCAGCTTCTACAGAAATCGAAAGAGCAGAGACATTCTTTCCTATTTTCTCAAAAAGGTCACTCAAGTGTTCTACTTACTGAGCTCAAGAGCTTACAACTATATGGCATCTTCACTGACCAAATCCATAAAAGCCAGGCTCATATTTTGACATACGTTTTGTTACAATTCTTTGCGAAGAATTTACAAAATAATTATATTTCTTGTCATTTCAATTATCAGATTTGGAAACAATTTCACTTTCTGTCGTTCATTTTATTTAAACGGTATGAAATACAATACAAGAAGAAAAGAGAATGCCCTCATTTGAAAGATATCAAAATTTAAGCTACTGGCTTAGTTTTTTTGTTTTTTTTTTTAAAGATTTTATTTATTTATTTGACAGACAGAGATCACAAGTAGTCAGAGAGGCAGGCAGAGAGAGAGAAGGAAGCAGGCTCCCTGTTGAGCAGAGAGCCCGATGCGGGGCTCGATCCCAGGACCCTGGGATCATGACCTGAGCCGAAGGCAGAGGCTTTAACCCACTGAACCACCCAGATGCCCCCCTGGCTTAGTTTTTAAAAGAAGTTTTCTCGAGGCACCTGGGTGGCTCAACCTGTTTCCTCCTCTCTCTCTCTGCCTGCCTCTCTACTTGTGATCTCTGTATGTTGAATAAATAAATAAAATCTTAAAAAAAAAAAAAAAGTTTTCTCTTGAAAGGAATGCAACTAAAATCATAAACCTACCATAGCGTGTTCACCAGCAAGAAAATATTTCATTCCATCCTGTTTACACTTCAAAAATCAAGTTTGCAAACCTTGGAACTCTTCAGGATATTAATATTAGGATTTTACCATTCTTAAACAATAATAAGAAAACATGACCC